TAACTAATTAACTAACTAATTACCTAATTATCCCTGCTATTAGTATTTGATTTGGGTTACTGCTGCTTGTTGGATCGTCCCAATTTCACTTAAATAAAGGGTTAATTTGGCTTCAGGTCTGCACCCTGGGTCCAAAGCATTCACCAACCATGACAGATATATTATACATACATTAACATCTTTAATTGGCTCCATGTGTATTGCAGTGAGATGAACTTCTCATAATTTAAGATAATGGACATAATGACAAGAAAATGGAAAAGTTACTCATTGCATAGTAATGTGATCACCCTCCTGGATGCCATGTAAATAAAATGGTTGAGGGGATTTGAGATGTTTTCCCATTTTCAAGCTTTACATCTCATCTAGCAAACGGAAAACTTCATTCTTTGAAAAATGCCTGTGAAATAGCATTTCTTCAAAGTCTTTAGCGAATCTAAGTCATAAATATGTAATGAGGAAGGAAATTAGTTTTGCCATTACAAACTCCATTATGCAATATTGTCCCAGAGTAATACTGGACTGAGAAAAAAGGAAGTTCAATTACAATATATTGCCTTTTTCTATTGAGATTCTGCTTTAACAGTGTTTTAGAGTTTTTAATTGTTTAAGATCCCATCGAGGAACAAGTGACTGGGACAGTGACTCTTTGCTTCATTTATTGGCGATGAACCTAAATGTTCTCGAGTCAACGAAACGGTGACCTTGGTGCTAAACAGAGATGGCAAAAAATACCAGACTGTTTGAATTTGTGATTTTCCAAGTCGGATAATTATACGAAGCATAATATCACGGCAAAAAAGAAAAAGTTGGCACACAAATCAATACAGAAGCAAGCAGTGATCCGTGCATTTTTTACATTAAGCTAAATACCTGGATGAAAAATGCCTGTGGTAACTCAAATGCCTGAGGCAGTTGTTCTATATAGAATATTATATCAATTTACTGTGTAGCTTTATTGATAAACCATGCAATATGGAAGCCTCTTTAGATGTGAATGAATCTGAAATCAACAAATAATCCACAGGCATTTATAATAAAACCTGAATAATTGCCCCATCTGTTTCTCGGCAGAAGCCAGAGGCTGTTTCTTTTCTTTTTTCTTTCCCTCTTCTTTTTAAAAGACACCAAGTCTGTACATCTCAATTTTCAGTACATCTTGGCTGCGTTATGGTGCTACACAAATGTGAGAGCTGCGAGTAGAAAGGTGGCTTCACTGGACTGAAAAAGAAGCTGCCTTATTTCACAGAGCCAACTAGGGCCAGGCTGGAGGCAGCATAAAGCAGGTGATTGGCAGCAGAAGGTTTGCAGCAGCAGGATGGAGAGAAGCAGAGTAAAAAGAGAGACTGAGTGATATGAAAAAAAGCAAAAATGTTCCAGTCATAAAACAGCAGGACCTCACAGCTATGTGCATGCCGGTCCCCTGAAGCAGATGTTGACTCCATGGTTTCAATGCGGTGTGCTGCTGGATTGCGGCCAACTGCCTTTTCCAGGTCATCTGAGACCTTATGCGGACCACCCCCACCCCACTTGTCCCCCTAAACCACCCACCCATGTGCAGTTACATCCTCACCCACCCCACCCCTGAAAAAAAGGCTGTATCTCTGACCGAAAGCCCCAAGTGAACTGAGGATTATTTCAACAAGGAGATGCCACAGGGACAAAGTCACCAGGTAATTTGTTATCAAAAAGCTGTAACCTTTCTGCCTCCGGTGACAAGTGATCCATCCACCTGAACTCATCCGTCTTGCAGTCTGAGCAGCTGCTTTTGCTGCCACAAACTTGCTGAAGAAGCTTACTTTCCTCAGCTGATTCTGGCTGGATAAACCTGACCTGTAATCCCTGGGAATAAAGTCTGAATGATTTTCCAACATCAACTTGAGTTAGTAATCTGTTATTAATGTAGCAAAGTGGAAAGCTCCTGGCACAATTTTCTTCCACGGAAATTACACTTTTCACTTTTTGGAAATGTAACACTACGTCACATTTGGCTCACACACCTTTTAAAATGTGGGCTGGCTACGCAGCACTACTTCACTGGTGGAATCGAAATTAATGACTCACTAAATTTATCATAGTTCGTGTTCTAATCAAACAAACAAACAAAAAATTCTTTCCTAAACACAAATGTCAGCCTTGCTGTGGGCGTAGTCGAAAGGCCGCTGGATCGACTGGTCTACATCTAGGGCCACACTACCACATGGTGAAAATAAAGCTTTCTTCATAAAGTTTAGATAAAAGCTAACCTTTGAAAAAAAAAAATTATATTGACGAGCTATCCACCCACCCATGACCCTGAACTGGATACACAGCTAAGAAAAAGGATGGATGACATTGGTTATAATCAAATACTTCACTGTGCAGCTCGCGATTACCCAGACATCTTCATCTTGCTAACTCCGTTTTATACACTGCTTTACTTTCTGTTCTGCTATTAAGTATCACGGCTCACCCACAGTCCCTTTTGCGCGCTCAGCCCTCCCACCAGTGGAAAATTCCTGCTTATCGACCTGTTTCTTCAATCCTCAAGTGCCCTGATGTCCTGCTTTCCAACCACCTCTTGCTTCATTTTGCTTTCCTTCTGTCCTACCTTAGATCTATTACCCTGCCTGTTTCATCATCCTTCTGCAGGATGCTGTGGCCCATCTGTCCTGCATGCCACACTCTCCCCAAAGCAAAACTTATAACTACTGTATGCTAAGTGACATAAAAACACTTGGCCAACCAATAGTTGTTTACCCAACAGATCATACACAAAGAAACCTTTGTGTAAACCCTTGATTAACATTCACATATATTTTGCTACTTTATTCATATGCACATACTGATATTTATGTTGTATTTATCTAATTATTACAAATAATTAGAAATCAGCTGTCAAAAAACAGTTTGTACCTGCAAAATCCTATGAAAGTAGCACAAAGCAGTACCAGCCTCAACTGTTTTTGAGCCTGTTCTCAAGCTCTATAACGCAAACGTAAAATCATGTCTAAAATCAAGTGTAAAATCTGTACTTGTACTACATGCATAGACTGTATTTTAAGTTCACGCAGACACCTTGCTGCTGCTCATTGGTGTGTGAATCTTTTGAAAAGCCTTGATTTGAGCAGTTAGGCCATCAAGGGAAGGAAAAGCATGCTTAGTCACAAAGCATACCCTGCTATACCCTGCTTTCTCATCTGTTTTTACCTAACCCGGGCCACAATTTACAAACTGAATCGCATTCTGTGTCAATTAGGCTTTGTAACTCAGAGGACACGAATGCATTAATAATAGATTAAGAGAGCAGCGGAGTCATTTTCCCTCAGACCTTTATACAAACTGACTTCTTTTTGCAGGCAGAAGAGTCTCCCCCTGCTGGCTATTAGACAGAATGCAGTTTTAAGACATTTCTATAAACTGTGACAAATTTTTATTTGTTATTCTCTTCCATTTTAAAATATTAATACTTAGACTAGCAACTCCACAACCTCCATTCCAACCCTATATAATAAAGTATTTCGTTGCCAATATGTCATATATAAAATAATAATTTGGCTGACTCCTTCCATCAGCAGCTTCACTGCAGGCCAATATCACAGCAATATCAGTGGGTGAGAATAAGCAGAGGGTGAATCGGGGATATTTATCAAAAGACCTCCCATCTCTAAAGGGAAAAAAATCCAGCCACACATGGGAGTGAAGAGCGTGGGTGTTACTCTTTGTTTATGTGTGCATATGTAGTACCAAAATGTTTATTTATTCGTTTTCTCTTCCCCTGCACTGCTCTTTAGGTTGATGTCTATTGCTGCACAGCACACACAGATTAAAACAAACCGGCTGACACACCACCTACCTTAGATCATCTCCCGATGGCGTGTGCGAACCAGCTCAGGCCAACCATATGTTTCACAGCCTCCTCCTCTGCTGTTTAACACTAAGCTGGATCCCTGACAGATGGCCCAGCTGCTTTTAACATGCCCATATCATCTTATCATGTACTGTATAAACAGCAGACTGTGACCCTTCTCTTTAGGAATTATAAAAAAGGCATCGGTATTAAATCTGAAGACTTAAAAAAAATAAAAGCCCTGTCTCATTTATGAAAACTTTATGAATAATTTACACAAAGGTTTGTGTATGATCTAATAAGAAAGACACGTTTGCTGATTATATTAAGTTCGATGTATTTTTTTTATTTATTTATTTTTTTACAAAATACTCTCAGTCAATTAAAAACACCAAAGTTTTCCACTTTAATAAGGGACATCTAATCTGTTCTAATAAAGCATGCACAGATGGGAAATCATTTTAAATAGACTGAGAGAGGATTTTTACTATATTATAGTTAAAACAGTCAAATATAAGTAGCAAATGTTTCCCGTGGCATGTTCCTTCCAGCCTCACGAGCTGGGTGCACTTCTAAGCTTTCAGTGGTTTGTAACCGTTTACAGCAGGGGTCCCCAATCCCAGTCCACGAGGGCTGGTGTCCCTTCAGGTTTTAGATGTGTCCTTGATCCATCACAGCTGATTTAAATGGATAAATTACCTTCTCAACATGTCTTGAAGTTCTCCAGAGGCCTGGTAATGAACTAATCATGTGATTCAGGTGTGTTGACCCAGAGTGAGATCTAAAACCTGCAGGGACACCGGCTCTCATGGACTGGGATTGGGGACCCCTGATTTACAGAATAAGGTCTAGGTCCTAAAAAAAAAGGATCATGCATCATTTGCAGGACTTGAAATTCATACAAACCTCTAAAAATCCCTTAAAGCTAATATTTATCTATATGGTTACAGACAGATAAAAGCATCACATCTGAAGAAAGAGGGAATTTATTTTGATCATTAGGATGATTCCCATTTAGGTTTCATATTTGTATTATACATTACTGCCTTAACATAGCTACTCTCACTGGGAATGAAAATAAGGATTCACCGTCTGTGGACTCGCTGGTTTTATTGTGTCTGGGCGACGACGCTTGCGTGTGACCTTAAAGCGTCCTGTTAATTTTCCCTACCTCCAGGATAGATGTCTCTTGTTCCATTTGTTCTGAGGGTTCAAGCTTCGCTTCCTGCGTCCCACTGTCCCCTCTGTCTCGGACACGTCAGGCAGAGAACATCTGGGTGTTTTCATCAGCCCTAGTGTTTCTTGGTCTGCAGGACAGAAGAGATACATGCACATATATAAACTAATTCAAATACATGCCACAGTTACCATGTTATTTTTAGAGAAAACTAATTAGCTATTGTATGAATGCATTTTATGCTTGCGCATGAATAAGGACATCTGATCCATCACTGTTCAACATCTGTTTGAAAATGAATGCTTCAGTAGTTGAGAGTCATGTTACACTGTATGAGCACATATACGTACACAGCTGACTGAACAAAAGGCTGCAAGAAGCCATTTGGGCCAAAACATATACATGCTCCCCAACTTCCCCTTCAGGCATTTACTGAGTAAAAGTCGTGATGGCAAACCTATTACGTCAGAACTAGTGATATTTATGGATACGCATGTAGCGCAGTCATGATCTGCATTTCAGAAGTCAGCAGGCCTCCAAGAACATGTACGGCCTTTTGGCCACTTTAAGAAAGAGAGGCTGCCCAGACTCAGAGCCAAGACGCTGGAGCGGCCCATGGAGATTACTCGGATGGACATCCAGGAGAAGGCACCTGTCACAGACGTTTTGAACCCCATTTCTCTTTTATTCCACCACAACCACAGCAGCATTTCTGCACAGTGACGAGACACTAAAATGGATTGTGCTGATACCTGAACCATCTGTTCAATCTTGCGAGTATAGGAAATGCTGTGCCTGCGCTGGAGCTATCTCTGATAAAGTAGAGGGTATGTCTGAATGAAACTGTGATGCTTTGTCTGAATAACAGATCACCGCAAAGTTACCGAACAGTATTATGCAACTTTATGTATTTTTCTAGGACACTGATTCTTTTCTTTATACATTTTTTTGGATCTTGAGTTTCTAATAAAGATTGATTGACTGTATCTCATCCCAGGAAGAAGTTTAACATCCTCCAAATCCACAGTTATTTCTGGCATTCCCCACTACAGAAGCACAAAAAAGGGTCATTTTACTGATAATTACCCCAAATAATTGAGTCTTACTTAAATAAATATTCATTAAATATGTTCAGCTTCACCCTAGCATCACATCATGTTCCTCAGCTGGCTGTCCACTCCCCACAGTTTGAGAAGCAGCGCTTTAGGCTAGCAAATTATTCACATACAGTATCCTGTTCTCTACCTTCTATATTTGTGTATGTGCGAGGGAGTAGCCTGTAAAGAGTTTTGTTTGTAGAGGAGAATTGCCGTCTGTGCGAGTGAGTGAGACTGCCAATATGCACCGCGGGAAACTATGAGGGCCTCACATGAGAGCGAACAGTAAAACCCACACTAATCAATATACTGCTCCGCTTCAGACATACCAGTGTTATCAATCACATACAGTACAGTAGGTACATAGCAGTACTGTAATTCTGCTTTGTGTGGTGCGGCAGCAAGAATGATTTATGCTTACAAGGTGTCTCATGACATGGAGACAGCTGTGCAATATAATGCTTTTCAGTACATAAGAACTGAAATAAAAGCTACCTTTTTATTGTTTGGTGGTTATTGTGTCAAAGCGTTATTGATTCGCCTCTGTTGCTTTTCTGTTGGTAGGAATGCGTTCTATTGTAAGGCATACCTTATATTTTCCTCCGCAGGCGTTTACTCTTACATACGCTGGTATCAGTGAACATATAAAACCAGCCATAGTGCTCCTTCCGTAGAGCAGAGCTTCGCAATCAACCTAGCCACATACCCAAGACTCCAGTCTCCTTAAGCCCTCCAAACTTCTGCATGGCTTTGATGGCCTTGGTCAGGGCCTCCTTGGTCTGAAGCTGGCCAGTCACAGGATCAGGCGGTGGGAGGTACCCAAACTTACTCAGCCAGTCCTGAAAGGGAAACAGAAGACACAGAGTTTAGTCGTCACTCCAGGCACCTGAAAATATTCAAGTGCCCTAAAGATGTTGAGACCGTCTTCAGTTTGATCTCTACTGAATCTTATTTGTATATTTAGAATCAAAAAGAGCTTTGTGCTTCTGTGCAACTGTTTGTGCGTCCAACAAATGAAAAACCGTTTTCCTTCTCTTAACAGAAATTTGGACACTATTTGTCAGCATTTTTTAATTGCAAGATGTTTGAATGGCAGAGAGCAAACTTTAATTCTTTTGCTAACATCTGACTAAACCAAGTCAGGTGTGAAATAATTAATTTAAATGTTATGTAATATATATAAATTAACCCCTTAAAGCCTGAAATATTAAATATTTGCAGGAAAAATTTTTTGGGGGGGGGCAGATTTTTGCAATTTCACTTTAATTTCCCTGTATTTGGTGGAAACAACAGTAGACGACAATGTGGGGAATCCCCGCCCCGCCTCATTGTTTTGTAATAAAACAAATATCATTAACAGCGGCTCAGGTCCAGCTGTTCGCTGACAATGAGCCAGTATGCACAATATTAGGATCTTGGATGTTTCTTATTTATATGCAATCATTTTTAAAAATATAAATGCTTTTATGACAGGTCAAAACATCCACTGCAAGAGTCCTGTACCACGATTAATTCAGATATGCTCTGTCAATTTTATTATGAAAACTTTCCGAAGGTTATTTTTCGATCTTGTGTATCATGAGTTTAAATTGCAGCTAAATCCAACCTCTTCCTTTTTCTCTCAGTGCGTCACTCTCAGGTATCCATTTCAGCTCAAACCCTCAATTTCCGTGAACTGATGGCTGGTCTGACAAATCTGTTTTTTAACGGTTTTAATGGCTAGATCACTACTCATCAGAAAGGAGCAACAAGGAGCTATTGCAAGACAAGGTAAAACATAAAAATAGGATTTTTAAGACCCATTTGACTGATATTTGGTGATGTAAAAATCTGATATTCAGATGTATATTTTTAGACATGTAATATATAAAATGGTTTGCCTGACTCTGCTCGGATCAGCTGGCTGTCATATTTGTGCCATTCCAAAAACTTGTCCCTGTGATGGACAAACCATGCAACATTAATACTCATAATAATGTTGAAGGGTGTTTCCGCTGATTCTACAATCTCTTATTTCCACCAGTATTTCCACTCAGAAAGGAAGGTTTTGACTTGACTTGGTTTTTAGAGTTTTCTATAGTTATATACGGGAAATTGGCTGAAATTGTCCCCTCATTAGACTGCAATTCAGGGAATGATGTTAGCCAATAGGTCTTGAGAGCAACTCCTTCACAGGAATCAAACCTGCCATTTTGAAACCTGGCATTGAGGCAACGCTGTGGTCCAATAATGAGATGTAGACGTTTACCATTGGTTTAGCAGCAGGGGTCCGTTCTTCGTACCTCGCTAAGTAAGTTAGCTGGATTTGATTGTTGACGATTTCGCGTGATCTTGGATCGTTCGGTTCCCCGAAGCTTATCCGGGACTTGCTGTCATAGCAACAGATCCGTAAGCGTAAACCTGCTCGGGAGCAGGTTTACTTTATGTAAACAGGATTAGATCGCGGCCACGCAGGTATGTCCGCTTCATTTATAAGAAAGCAACAGCGATATTCCACCACTGTTTCACCATAAATAAATAACATCAATGTAACTAAAGACAATGCAGCACCTGATCCATTTATTGATTTCACACAGATACATACAGGTCATTTCCTAAAAAAGGGAAATGTACTATTAACATTCTATTTCATGTATTTGATTATTTCAGATGTAATTCATATTTTAGAGTAGTAATAGTAAATTACTTCGTGTAATCAAGATGAGAGACCACGGCTATAAAAGCGAAGGTGGATTTGGGAAGCCTGTCGCAGCCATGTCCTGTATTATTCAAGCGAGGTACGAAGAACGGGCCCCGGGCCCGTGGTATACCATCGCCATTATTGTGTTGTGTTTCTGTCAATGTTATATGACGACCCCACCCACATTGAGGCGGGGTCGTCAAGGGCTTGGGTTTCATAAAAGCCTTTTTTTCTATATTAGAGGAAACAAGCTGTTCATGTGTTTGCTTACAATATCTGAATGCTTCCCATATTTAGACCCTACCCTTATGTGGACATTATAATTTAAGGTTACGTATAAATGCTACCTTATATTTTAATGTCCTGGCAAATGTCGGGCAGACAGCCCTCTTTTCATTAACCAATAAAACTGAAGCAACTGTGTTCGATTTTGTTGCTTTTAATACCCGTGTTCACGGCAGGTGGCTGCAACTGGATATAAAAGGATATTGGAGGGCAGATCTGTTATTGAGACATAATGTTCACTTTTGCTGTGGTACAAAGGTTAGAAAGATGAGAGGCAAAAATAAACATAAAAAAAAGAGCTGATTCAGAATACTGAATGGCATATGAGCTTTGGCTTGATACAGTTGACACATAATATGTGTGTCACCTGGGTGAAAGGAATTGAGATTCTGGGGCAGGTATTGCTGAGCAGGAGGTTCTAGATAAGCACTTTAAAGTTCAAAAGCAACCTGGCCCACCTTTCAGTGACTGAAGAAAATGTCAGCATACTCAATGTTCTGGCAGGAAAATAATGATATAAGACTGTATTGTTGTTACGCTTTAGTCAGTGTGAGTCTCGCCAGCTAGAGCACAAGGTCAGGTATATAATAACACCTCTGCAGCTACTATAGATTCAGGAACTTGCTTGAGGTCCACCTTACTAATACTTAATCCTAGTAAATCTAGTAAAAGAATGACTTCACCGCATCACCCTACAGCTGCTACGTAGAGGCACTCACTGTACATGTTTTGTGTGAGAAAAAAAACATGGCGGCAGAAGTACTTGGCCTTGTATGCATTAGTGGACCTTTTGGCTATACTTTCGCTGAAAGAGCATCAATCAAAAGTGTTAACTTTGCAGTTAAAGGCCAAGGCAATATGTGCCGCACATTTCACACTTAAGCAGTTCAGTGTGCATTAAGTAATCACAGAAATGCATTAGAGCGTTTATGGACCCACTGAAGAGGAAAATGAGCAGAAATCAAATCAAATAAAACAACACCAGGAAAAAAAAAATGACAATTTGGGTGAGCATAATTAGATTTTTTATAATGTTTACAAAAGACTCCTGAAATGCAGTTTCTGCCTTTCAGTTCATATATGGAATGTATTTGGAAGTATTACACATTACACATTGTGGCAGCCAAAAACTCACTAATGCTAATGTGAAGGTACGTAGGCAAATAAATGACACCAAAAGCCACATTTGATTACACTAGAACACGCTAGAAGAGAGAAACCTTGCAGGGAAAGAAAATGTTATATATGATGAAAGGAATGAGACCAGCCACATGAGTTTATTCGCTCTAAATCTGTGATTGACTGTAGCACGAGGGGCTCATGCAGATGGAGGAGACTCTGCAGTTCTTTAATCGTGCATTATTAAAAAATGCAGATATAAAGAAGCAACGGCACAAAACAATGTCTGCATCCCCATATTCTTGGTCTCAAATGAGAAACACACACGCACAAAAAGCATAAAACACATTCTGCCAAGCCTGCTGCCATTTTATTGGGCTCTTTGTCTCAACAATCCGGTTTTTGTAGTCTCACAGTTTCTCCACTGCGGGTGGCATGAAAGTTTAGATTTCAGAAATTTCTTGTCTCTGTTGTATGAGAAGAAGAAAGAACAAGTTGAGGAACAAGTAAAGAACTGGTTTAAAGGTTGTTTGATTTATTTAAGGGCAACACGAGAGATGGAGATAGTACAAATGTACTTGAAACACAGAAAGATAACTGCCCGTGTACTGCTGTATTGCTGTACTGCATTTCCAGCAACAGTAACAGAAACATGTATTTTCAATTTGTGTCCATCTCAGTTCTAACCTTTAAAATCATTTAATCTAACAAACCCTCCAATCCCTCAACTATTACCAATTCAGGAAGTTTTTAACCCTACATCAGACTAGCATGAGCATAAAAGTAAGTAATACTACTAATAATACTGTGAATGGATTTTAGCTTTGGTGCCTCACAGAGAAAACATGATTACAGCCACTTCCATGACTCTGCAGCTTTGCAAGCAAACTCAGCTACATGCTTACACCACGTCAACAGAGCCAAGGGCTGGGGGCACCCTATGCCCCCCTTCTGAACATGCCCCTGGACTCTGTTTCATTCATATGAATTTTTAAAGGCTTGGTAACCTAAATGTTCCCTAATTGTGCATTTAGACTATATATCTATAATAGGCTTTAGCTGCAATTTATAAACCCTTTGTTAATTAAAAACAAAACTACTGCCAACTACCTATTGAAATAATTTTTTGTCCAACATTCCTGCCCACAAACATCCATTGCCAGTCTCGAATAGCATGTAGAAACCAGTGTGACCTGTACTTAACAACAAAGGCGAATAAGTGTGTGGAGGTTTTGAATGAAGAGGATAAAATTCTGAAAATGAAAGAGGAAGAAAAAAACCCAAACTTGAATATCCTGGTATTATTTGGCAGGGAACCTGTTTATTACAAAGTTGTACTTCATTTTTTTGTGTGTGTTTTTGAGCACAGAGCAATATCATTGTCCTATCCTGTCAAGAACCCCCAAATCCATCATCCATCTCACTGTCAGGGCTGCTTACCAACTGTTCACAAAGGTTACTCTGAATGCATGTTTCCGCATATAAGACCAGAACTGTGTGAAGGTCAAATAAAGTTTGAACTTAACAAAGCAAAAACACTTAATAGAAAAGCACAGTAGGAAAAAATGAAGACAAGACTGGAAAAAGAAATGTAAATGGTAAACTGGAGAAAGATAGCAACACAAAGGACACCACTGATGAAAAGGACGTCTTAAGTCTTAAGATCTGCTAATGCTCTAGGGAACTTTCTGTTGTACAGCCTTGTAAACATCAAACCAAACCACTGACTATGATTTCACACACCACAAGAGAGAC